AACTGTGCTTGGGTTCTCCAAGTTCGCGGATACATATCTGAGACCGGGGAACACAGAGAAGTAGAAGTAAGCAGGGCTGCGTGTAGAATCGCCTCACATACTCTCCTTCTGGAGCCAAGTGCCAAAAAGTTATGTCCTTGGATCCTCAAGGTAGGGTTTGATGTGCTAACATCATCGTCTGTGACTGCTACGGTAGTGTCTGCGGTGCCTAAAACCACAAGAGACGTCATTGTTGATGTGCCCTGAAGCTTTTGCCACCACTACCAATATTCTGGAAGCCTTGAATCCGAAAGCGCGGCTCTGGCCCCCCCAATGTCGCTGGGACAGCATCAGTCCGTAGCAGCATGAGGAGCTCTGCCGCAATGAGGCGGCTCTCTACATAATAGTTATTGTTCAATTCGTTTCGGGAACTCGAGAAGGGTCACTGATTTGTGCAACTTGTCCGCGCTTAAGCAATCAGAAAGACCCAGAAGTCACTCGGCACACGGATATTGAATGGACAACGTGATGTGTCAACTTGATTTGTCACTCTTACTCAATCGCCCCATCCAGGAATCCCGTGGAGCCAAATCGAACGTCCTGTGTCCAGAGTCCAGACACTGATTTGGCCGTGTTAGTTTTTCTTTCTTGTCTGTGACCGTGTCAGGCTTCTCAAGATGAGGCTTATGTTTAGGAGTATAGATGGTGCGAGGGTGCTCATGGGTTGCAGACCCGAATTTCATTTGCTCTGCAACAGTACGTGCGCATGTCTCTTGTGCTCCGAGGGTTGCACGCAAGTAGCTGTTCCAATCAGGATGTCGTATCAGTGAGTGGTGCCAGGCTCTTTCACTTCGGACATCCAAGTTTTCATGGTCGTGACAGACTTCCGCCTGATGCGCCGGCAGGAGACCTTCCCAGACGGGAAAGATGCTGTGCCGGGATTATTCTCGGCACGATTCGACGGCAAGCCAACAGAGCACAAGTTCCGGCGTGTGTACGAGATCCTGAAGGCACTGACGTTCTTGAACATGAGCATGTCCATGTTGTTGCCTGTTGTGTTCTTGCGAGACGTTTCCATGGAAAGCGTTCACAAAATAAGTAGCGATAAACCTGGCAGGCGCACAACTATCCGGTCCTGATGGTCTCCGCGAAATGTGGCGTCGACTTCGGTGATTTGACGATGAACTATTTAAGCCAGATTGAAGAGAATCATGGTAAGCTTATTTGTGTATGCACGGCTCATTATGCTGAGATGACCGCTTCACCTTTCAGCTCTTTCCACGAATTTAATTATGCACAAGCTTACAAATTGGATGTTCTCCCGCTGAAAGTGGAAGACATCTACCCGCCACGACCTCCCAGCGGAAAAGACCATCCTTACGACAAGGACGGTCGTGCAAAGGCCTTGATCAAGATGGTCTTCAGACCCAATCTGGCCTTCACAGACTCTTCGATCTCGCTAGGAAGAGTTTCATTCTTTTGAAGATAGAGAAGACTCATTTGAGGGTGTAAATCAGAAGCCTGATCACAGATGTTTGGGCATCCCAGGACGTCCGCGACCTAGATGAGAAAGAGATCGCTCGGGTGATCGCAGACAGCTTACTCAAGTCGACGGGGACCCTCGTCATGACAAGTTTGTCGTACTTGCAAATATCGGTGGTATGCAGGTACATCTTACCTGCAGGAGCCGTAGCACGATGTCGCAAGCACAGCCAAGGCAAGGCGCTGGACATGGATGAGAAAAAGGCTCGCAGAAACCTGGCGGGGGGGAACCATACCACCACACCACCAGGGTTTCAGGGTGCAGGGCGCAGGGTTTCGTCGGGTTTTGGAGTGAATGGGCTCTGCCAGGTCGCATTCAGCGCTGAACGTCGCTTGACCACGCCTCCCGCCCTGCGCAGCTGAGAGTCTCGCACGTCAGCTTTGATCCAAGCTGCTTCGCGACTAGAGAGTTCGGTGTTGCGTGTAACCCTTTGCCGCGAGCCCCAGACAATCCTGAGACTCTATAAGCAATAGCAAGATAATCACAATAATAAATACTGTTAGAAATAGTGTCTGCAGCACTGACGTCAAGTTTATACAATTGTGAAGACAAGCTCGCAGGGAGGTTACTGCAACGATGGCAGCGCTGCAGACGCCGAAGGGACGCAGCGCAGAAGCAGGTGATTCGGCTCTGCCGGAGCCACCTTGGAACCAATACATATTATTTCGAAGTACGCGTGAGTTGAGTCTGCAGCCCATTTGGGGCCAGTAGCCAAAAACGCCACAAACATAGAACCACACCTGAACCCCGTTGAACCCTAAATGGCCCGACTGCGCTTTGGGGCAGCCTTGGGTTTTTCTGTAGATAGAGGGGCCGGGCACTGCGCAGTTTGCAGGCGGGTGGATAAGGGTTTTTGTAGTGTGGTTCTGGATCTCAACCCTAAACCCTAAACCCTAAGTACCAAACCCTATACCCTAAAGGTTCTTGTAGGGTAGTTTTGGATCTCAACAGCAAGAAGAGCTGGTGTCTCGGATGGGGGGACTGAAGAGCTAGGCCAGGAGGCTTTCAATTAGGGCATCCCTACATATACCGTTTTCCATTCGAGCTTTACTTAAGTCCTACTTAGTAGTCTCCTTGATTATGATCCTTTGGCAGCAGTTTTCCCTAGCATCTACGTGATTTGCTGTGAAGAAGATTGATTGAACAGATAGCTCACACAGCCGACTTGATCTATGTGGCTCTTGCGCACTCTTTGGGTTTGTTACATTTTTGGTCCTGGGGCTACTGTCTGCAATCGAAATCCAAATGGGCTGAGAGAGACGCACTCAAAATGTGTTTTCAGCGGGTGAAACCCCTCAGTGTCGACGAAGGTGAGGTGGGTTGTGACGAGGTTGCTCAGACCCTCCCTTGCTTTAGTCTTTTCAACACCGCCATCAGCTTCTCTGGAAGCTGGCCTCAAGGATCTCGATCAAGAGCACAAGAGGCTGAATACCCGCTTAGGGTTTAGGCGGTTTAGGGTTTGGGGTTCAGGTTTTAGGGTCCGACATCGGAGAAGGAGCTGCAGAAGTGATGGAGATTCCTTGGGGTTCACGGCTGCCGTGGAGGCATCAAGCTGTAAGCTTATACTGAGCCTCAATACTCCTGACCGAACGAGTGCAAAGTTGACAAAGTGCGGCGCCCGGGAGAGTTCAGTGCCTCGTGCCTTTGATGGTGAGGATGGTTCATAAGTTCATAGTGCTTCGGAGTAATTTTCTAGATCTTTTCCGGCACTGGCAATTGCAATGTACTTCTAACATGCAGTCTTCTGATGGTCGTCTGGCCAGCCTTGCCAGAACGAGGATTTCGTACACACTTGCTCAGACCTCCCATTTTTGAGCGATTTTACTTTGGTTGCCCTTGTACTTTTCATTCCATTCCCTCTACAAGCCGTGGCTGTTGACGACTGGCTACAGCCGTAAAGCCTGAACACCAGCGTCGCCGTTTGCAAATTCCTTTGCATGCAGGGTTTAAGGTTTAGGGAGCCTTGAATCTTACTCCTAAACGCCGAAACCCTTAAACGCCGGCGCCCAAAATCATGAACCCCGAAATGCAAAACTCTATGCCCCAGCGCTCTGTGAACCTTAACTTCAGACATCTTGGCACTCTGTGCTTCCCCCAGCAGCACGCTTATACTCTTAACATTTTGGGGCCTTTGTTTTGGGAATGGGCAATCGGGAAAGTACACTGTTTATGTAAGAGGTGCGGCACGTAGCTTGTAGAGACGTTTATGGGTTTCAAGGTTCCGTCAAATTCGAACTTGAGGCATTCAAAGCTAACCC